ATTTTAAAATAATAATTGATTTTTGTCTTTTTAATATTTAAGTGTCCATCTACCCGTTTTATAATAAAAAATATATAGATACCATTCAAACAATAAATCGTTGTAGAGTATAGGGTCAACGGACAGATACTAGTAAATGCTCCTCAGCAATGCTGTCAGAAAAGCCAAACATCATCGAACTACGTTCTGGAATAGATTTGACACATTTACAAATGTATTTCGCCAGACTTAAATGAAATCAGACAAATCAGTTTATTAGCCCTACGTAATTTAAAAGGATAGAAAAGGACTGCATTATATATGTGTATGTTCACGTTAACTAGTGGCTTCTTCCATGAGACAACATAACTTGACAAATCCACAATTATCCCATTTGCGAACGAAAATTAGTGTCACTTTTAAATTTTGAAAAGAATGATTGATCTAGATAGCCCCAGTATAAATCACGTAACATCAGACTTGAACACGCATCTTAAATGCTGAACGCCGGTGAACGCCTGCTGTTCGATCAAAGGTCTCGTCTAGTTTTTGTCATTCAGAATAACGTCCCTTAGGTTAGTCTTTGACTTTGTGTTTACATAGTTCTGCGCGCTCGCGAGAGAACCATTTGAAGGGAAAATAGTGAAGTATCTTTTTGCACATTATTTCAATTGTAATAGCTATAGTATGGTAACACTACACTTATTGATTACAACATTTATTGGTTTTGAAAAATGTCTTTGCATAGCACACGAGTGCTATTTGTGTTCGGGTAGTCATGTCATCTTTTATCATGGGAACAAAACGTCTACATGAAGGACATACGTAGGATTGTACGGACTGTCACTCAGATAGTTGCGTGTTAAACAATCATGTGACCTGACAATGTGATCATGAATATCGTGTCACTTCTCCATGTTGTTTGCCACCGTCATTGGATCCAGAACTGTCTCCTCAAGAATACCAGATTCTAGTTCAATTTTTACTGCTGAGGCCAAAGCTATCTTAAAAGCTTTGACAGATAACAAACATAAAAAACAATTTGAACATTTCATCATCTTCTGATGTCTTGCCTTCAGGCACTTCAAAGTGTCTCATCATATCACTATTATTCTAGACATTTTAGAACTCTATTATGATCTTTCTACGTATACTGGCCAGTGTTACATCGTCTTTTGCTGGTTACCAAGTCATGTAGGCATAACAGGCATATCTCAATAGCCAATGCTGCATCTAAAGCAGCTCTTGACAAACCGTTATCTCCACTATTGATCCCGTACAGTGATTTCAAACCAACCATTAAGAGTTATACTCGGGATCTCATGCAAAAGAGGTGGGACACCCAGGTAGAAAGCAATAAACTTCACGAATTAAAACCACCAATCGGTCATACCTATAGCTACTTGGGTTGTCAGTCAAGGCATGACAAGGTCGTTTTACGCCGATGTCGTATTGGCCACACTAGGTTTACCCACGAATATGTGCTTAAGACAGATGAAGACCAACCCCCTAATTGTATTGCGTGTGATGAAAGGCTCACAGTGAAGCATATATTGCTTGATTGTGTGGACTTTGCAATCGCAAGGGATTCACATTATCAAAGCGTAAATCTGAACGATGTAACTATCATCAACCTGTGTTTTTAAGCCAACTCATTACTGAGAATGTTTTAATATTGGCTTGTATTGTACACAACCACCAGTAGCTTCAGTGGGTATCAAGCAGGAAGCAGAGGTACTGGAAGTCCCCATGATCCCCAGCTAAGTGGGCTAGCTTTGGTTCCTGATGGCCTAAAGCCCGTGTTTTAAAACTATATATGATATTGTTATGCTCAAATATGTTTCATAAATTGTTTTTAAATAAAGTATGCTCAAATATGTTCCATAAATTGTTTGAAAATATAACTTTGCATAAATAACTGAATTGTGAATTTATTAACTTGGTCTCGTCGCTATATAGCCATCTTCCCAAGGCAAGAGAGTTAACTAACTTTAAAAGTCAAGTTTCCACCCTTGCCGAACTGGGCTGGAATTCCTTGGCTCGATCGTAGCGCCACCTGTTGCTATAACGAGTTATGTCCCTTCCATGCCTCTCCTATGGATCAATCAGATTCCACCTCTCGTATCAATTGTGATAAAACGGGTTTTACATCACGAAGTGCATCAAATCACGTAAGCACCGTGATTAAAAACATGAAAAGATTGAGAAAAGATCTGTTGACAACGAGTTAGCGGTGCACATGTCTTGCAAATCCTCCAATCGACCGAAATCTGCATAACAGTTTAGAAACCGGATTTCGATTTCGTTGCGCGATTTTGATTGGACTATGCATAGACTCGTTAGTCCAGCCAAAATGAAACTCCATAATACCAGCCTAGTTCGGCAAGGGTGGAAACTGGACTTTTAAAAATTAGTTAACTCACTTGCCTCGGGAAGATGCTATATGGCTGAAATAATACCGATGGGACATTACATTTTAACTAACTCACCCACTCTCCATGTCATTGGGAAACACCCCATTTTTAAATCTCTAACACAAATGAGTTCTCTGTCAGAGTTACGATAGCTATCGTATCTTTATGCGATCCGTGACAGGTTTACGATAGTTTCGAAAATATATCTTATCTTACACTTAAGACATCTTATCTTTGAACGTAAATTGTTAAGATTTATCTTAGCTAAGATCGTTTCGAAAAATCTAGACCCAGACATCTTAGCGAACGAGTATTGCTTGACGCCGCTTTTAGCAATATTCCAGCAGTGTAGCGGCGCAGGACACCAGAAATGGGCTTCGCACATTCATCCCTGTGGGGAAACGAACCCGTGACAAGCGACCGGTTTAACCACTGGGCGACCCATTCGCCCTCAAGACCACAGAATCTTGTGGATACAAAACTGCTACTAAACACACTATTAGTAACCGTAAATGACAAGAGTCCTAATGAGCACATGTAGTTTCCTCAGATACCCTGTTTGAGTGAGTGAGCTGGGTTTAATGCCGCTTTGAATATTTATACCACGGCGTGTCGGTTTAATGTGGGAAGAAAGCCCGAAGTGATGCAGGTCTTAGATGTGAAAACTTTGTGAAACCCACGAGCCCCGGCATATTGCTGAAGAAATCGAGAATCATTATCGGGGCGGACCGGGATTCGAACCCATGATCATAGGTTTCTGGCGTGCCAAAGGGATGCAACTCTGCACAGCGAACTGAAGCGCCTCAGGCGAATACTGCACCCAGTTTAATAGAACATCGATTAAAATATGTAACGAGACACATGCTTATATTGATTACACTTACGTAATTACTAAGTCTTATACAGTAAACTACGGTTATTACGAACTCAAAGGGGCTACAAATTTTATTTCGTTATAACCGTAATTCGTTATAAGCATATATACAGCATAACTACAGCATTGGTCGGGACTAAAACGTTAGTTCGTTATATCCGTTAGTTCGTTTTAAGCGTGTTTGTTATAACCGTAGTTTACTGTATTTTATTTGAAACTCGCACACGAATGGCCAGCGCGTCTCCGACTTACTACCTCCTACGTAGGACTTACTATCTCCAACGTAGGACTTACTATCCCCTACGTAGGAGATACTTAGACAAAATAAATTTCACCGTGGCCCTACTACGCTTCCGTAGTCAAAACCATACCCGGGCACATAGGCTTGACCATTATGGCAAACGTGGAACTCACAAACTCTTGGGTTTCTTAGTAGGAAAAAGGTCGACATAAAGCTATATTTGTCTGAAGAGGAGAGTAAATAGATCGATGAGGCTCGGTGACTTGGTTGATTGCCTGGTATCGTGTCCCGTGATGTCATTCACTGGTTTATCTGGGCCAGACTCGATTATTTACAGAGAGCCGTCATATGGCTGTTACATTGCAGTCTGCAGTGTTAATCACACAAACTCTCACTGATAGACAAAAGGCTCATTTTCCACTAAAGTCCTACGTATAGATACCCGTGAAGATCCGGGGTTGAATAGGTCTTCAGCAACCAATGCGTGCCGTGAAAGGCGACTTTTTTGTAAAAGGCGACAAACGGGATTGATTGATGCATGTCCAAATTCGTGGATCAATGCTCATGATGTTAATCACTGGATTGTGTGGACCATACTCGATTATTTAGTCTGCCGTCATACAGCTGGACATGCTGAGTGCGGCGTTAAACAACAAACAAACAAAACAATCCAACGTGAAGATGTTTCAGAAATGCATGTACATGTGTGTGTGTTTATGAGCGATATATGATGAAGCGTTTGTAAAATCATCGCCTTAAGCCCCATCGAGCGCCGCTAACACTACGGCTATCACCTATGGGAAAGGAGCTGTACCAAAATTACATTACGAGCTACCCGTAAAGATCCGGATTAAAGTACTGTCGGAAATGCTAGAAAACTGCTTTTCGATAACCCCGTCGAGACTGCTTCAGTTCTTGACATTTGACGAAACGGAGGATATTATCTCCAGACATGTATGATTTAATCACGACAAAACACTCAATGTTTAACAGCTTGTGTTATACCTGCAACTTTATAAATTGTCACCCTTTCGGAACAGCAAAAGTAATTTAAAATAACAGGTAATCATGTGTCTATTTTATATTTATTTAGGTTTGTTTGGTTTGTTGTTTAAAGCCGCACTACATTCCAGCTATATGGCGGCGGTATGTAAATAATCGATTCTGGACCAGACACAATTCAGTGATTGACATCACGAGCATCAATCTTCCCAATTGGCATACGATGACATGAATCAACAATAAACAATAAACAAACACTTGGGAAATCGGTGTGCAACAAACTCGTTTACGTTACTACTAGTGGCACGCGTCAATGAATGCCTGCCTGTAGCGTTGTCATGTCTGAAAAATAATGATTGTATGGAATACTTATTACTGTAACAGAATATGCTGAAATCGTCGTGCACATCGGACAGCACTCCTGTCACAGAACATGGTATGCTGGAACTGAAGTCGAGAACGGGTTGGTCTCGAGTGAATACGCAAGTATGGTGACAGGGTATAAAAGCATAAGCTCTCCCCACCAGTTTGACATGAGCTATACTGAGGCGAGCACTCGCGATGTCTTTAGTACGTGTGAGTATCTTCTTAGAGTTGGATTGAAAACGCAGGACTTTATATTTGTTTGGAAAACATTAACTGACTGTGCTTTATCCCTCTTCACTTTGTTAATATTAAAGTTGTTTATGAAATGTTTTGATGGCCTCGTTGCTATATGGATAAAACGAAGTCGATGCGGCGTTCCATATTTGTTCGTTTACTTGTATGTGTATGTGACAAGTTTACTTTGTTTCATGTGAACAATCGTCTTGTATTGGATTTGCATGTGTTTGTAACGGGGCCCACCTGGTATAATATTTGGCGATTCATAAATACATAGTCATGGTCACAATCGACTATGCTTTTAGCATAGTGGCTATTGGGGCGGTCGGGTAGCCTAGTTGTTAAAGCGTGCGCTCGTCACGCCAAAGACCCGGGTTCGAATCCCGACATGGTTACAATGTGTGAAGCCCATTTCCGGTGTCCCCTGCCGTGATAATGCTGGAATATTGCTTAAAGCGGCGTAAAACATACATGCTAGCTCATGTGAGCTATTGAAAGCGTCTTGTCGCTTGCATTTACAGGCAGCGATCTCGTATCGACTGTATGCGAGACCTTCAACTTTGAAACTCCTTTCTTGGTTCTCAAATTGTTTGTTGGTATATTTTCAGTCAACCAGTTTAGTGTTCTGTCTGGTAGTGCTTGTTCTATGCAGATGGACGGCAGGAAGTAAGTACAATAATCACTAATAGCCACCTCGTACTGTCTACTTGTATATAGGCAGATGAGAATTTTAAATGTTGCTGATGGCGCCCAAAATCGCCAGCATGAAAACGCCATGTGAAAATAGGTCTTGTGAAACGTCGGAAGAACGCGAGGTCATACTCATTGTGCATTCCAAATACCAAATCGGTCCCGCCTTGCACGTGAAATGCGTCCTTGTACCTGTTTCACGTTTAAAAACGTGCGTGTATCTACCTCGGTCATGTAGCCTCCGCTTCAAGTATTTTACGACCGATTTTAAAGTCTTAACGCCCTCTCCCCTTGTTTCCACGCTAACGCTCCGTAATGTAACGGACCCGTGAAGATCCGGGGTAGACTTGGTCTTAAGCAACCATACTTGTAAGAGGCGACTAACGGGATTGGGTGGTCAGGCTCGCTGACTTGGTTGATGCATGTCGTTGTGTCCCAATTGCGTGGATCGATGCTCATGATGTCAATCACTGGATTGTCTTGCCCAGAATTTCCCATTTACACACCGCCGTCATATAGCTGGAATACTGATGAGTGTGGCGTTAAACAACAAACAAAATCCAGAAAGTAGCATCGGTGGCTACAACGATTTGAACAAACAACAAAGCATCAGTGCAATTGCATATGCCTTGTACCGATAGCTACCGTGTTCTTCAGGTGAACAATTCACTTGCCTCTGCATGTCTTTGTGACAGTACTATCAGGAGGGCAGAATGCGCCCATCTTTTCAGATACCTGCGATATCGTCACTAGTAGATAATGGATCATAAACACGTTTGGTCAGAATCGTACAATGGACTCTGCTTTTAGCAGATTTCTTGTGGATAAGAAAGTTGTCCCATTTATACGATGAGCGTTGCCGCCACACAACCCAGTTAAATACCGTCTCTCCGGGGTAGAATTAATCTTAGTTGCCAAGCTCGACTACACTTTTGGCGATCCGTTTTAGAAAGGTTCTTTAGCAACCATACTTGCTGTAAAAGGCGCCTATGCCAGTCGTACGGGGCGACTAACGGCTCGGTAGGTCGGGTTCGCTGACCTGGTTGATCCGTGGATGGATGCTCATGTCAATAACTGTCTTGTCAAGACTCGATATAATTACCATGGTAATTATAGCTATTGCTGAGTGCATCGTTTTCACAAACGGCAAATGCGCGTCATATCTGAAACATCGGGTACAAATGGATAAGCTTATGTCGTATTAAAAATTAAATGACAGATCATGTCATTGTGACCCGCTAATTTCAACCGAGTGACCATGTTCACACTTGTTCGTTCACCTAAAGTTACCCGAAGAGACCTTCTTGTGAACGATCCATGTTTTTGAGACATAAATGCAAAGTTAATGAGCAAAGCGCCCCCCCCCCCCCCCCCTTTTTAGATTTACAATATATCGTATTTCTTGCAGAATCATGCTCGAAGAGCTGTCCAAGCCCACTGGTCTTATACACGGCCAACTGCGTTTGCGTTCCATCATTCGGTGAGTATTCCGTGTTGGTTCTGGTCAGAATTCGTCCCAAGCAACTTTCACTGGCGACGTGTGGATCGAGTGGATCAAGCGGTCGGACTGACTGGCATGTGAATGTGTAGATTGTCTGGTCCAAACGAGATGATACAACGGCCGCCTTCATTATCGGTTTAATATTGCTGACCGCGGCTCGGACCAGACGAGTGATTTTAATTATAATATATTCACTTCTGATTTTCAGTTTATTCAGTGCCGATGTAAGCCATCGGCCCATGCTAATTATCTTATACAGTTTTCATTTCGGTCCATTTATACACAACACTTGGAGCTTGCAGATAATCAACTTTTTTATATTTTTATATTTTTTAAATATTTTAAACATTGTTAATTATTTTTTGTAGCTAAACATCAACTACATTATTTATCCCATTGATGGATGGACATATTATGGAGTAGGTACATTTGGCGGAAATCTTTCTACATATCACAAATTAGCAAATTCTTCGTCTCAATAGAACCGAAATAACAAACCTTCCAGTCTTTGTTCTTAGGATCCGGGGTAGAACAGGTCTTCAGCAACCCATGCTTGCCGTAAAAGGCGACTAACGGGATCGGGTGGTCAGGCTCGCTGACTTGGCCCAATTGCGTGGATCGATGCTCATGATGTCAATCACTGGATTGTCTGATACAGACTCGATTATTTACCGCCGTCATATAGTCGAAATATCGCTGTGTGCGGCGTTTAAACAAACTGTCCTCTACGTACATGTTTCGATACATAACTGAGCCGCAGCGGACTTGTGAAATAGCATAATTGAATTTACTTATTGTTTCTGAATTTATATTCCCTTTCAGTACAATGCTTCAGACAAGATGAGACCGATTGTCCGGCAGTCACAAAAGCCAAGTTTTGCAACACTCCGACCTACATGGTGTCGTGTCCACACAGCTGCGGCCTTTGTAGTAAGTGTATTTTCCTTGGTCAGATTCAATTCGAAAGGTCGGGTCTCGCCGACCCTTAATCTCGGCCCCTAAACCTTCACCGGTTGCATCATATCCATCCGATATTATCCATTTTTAATGCCACTATCGTCAATCTGTTCACAAATCCATTTGTCTTGGAATCGATAGCACTTTGTTTTTTGTGTTTAACATTCTGGACTCGTATTTCTCGACACAGCAATGACTTAATGTGAAATGGCCTTTACCGTGCACTGATATCCCTAAAGACGGGAGGTAACATGGAATATTGCAAATTCCAATTGATAAATGTTTACTGAAATGTGTTGCAGGCATTGGGCCAAAAATTATCGTCTTCTCGACGCCTAATCCCCCAACTATATAGATAAACATCAAGGGAAAGTACAAATACGAAACCTGGCCTATTGGGCCAAAATATAAATCGTAGGATTTAGATACCTGATGTAAATGTTCCTTAGACATAAGGACGTCTTTCTACTTCAACTGTAACCTAGTTAATCTGTCATTCGAGAACCTTAACGCATCATAGTCAAGGCGTAACCCCAGTTTATTAGTACTTTGGCATTCAATCTTTCCCAACTGAGTGTCAAGGGGATTTTGTCACTTCCATATTTGTACATGTATTACGCCCTCATATCAGCCCTACCCCTTTACATTTCTCCACGTCTGACAATTTTCCTTTCAGAATCGGACTATGTTCCATCCTCCAAACTGGCAATCGCTTTCTTCCCCTCGGGGAAATCGGCACTCGACATGTACCGTAAGTATATCATGCAAATGTGGTGCCTAAACCTGTCCAAGGAATTGGTTCGCATTGCCTCCTGGTCTGGTACACGCCAGTGTACATACCCGTGGAAATCCAGGTTAGAACTGGACTTCAGCAACCCATGCTTGCCCTTAAAGGCGACGAACGGAATCGGGTGGTCTGGCTCGCTGACTTGGTTGATGCATGTTGGCGTATCCCAATTGCTTGGATCGATGCACGTCAATCACTGGATTGTCTGGTCCAGACTTATTTACATAACGCCGTAATATAGTTGGAATGTTGCTGAGTGCGGCGTTAAACTGAAGTCACGTTGCTAAATATGCTAGGTAAAGGCAGAGTGGTCTGACATTTTGACATGAGGTTTATACCAATCGTTCAAAGTTTCCCGTAGGCCAAACTGTTCCGTAACTTACTCTACCTAAACTTATTAAAGATATCCCGATTCATGAGAATACTGTAGTTAATGTCATGCCATATTAAAATATTTTTGCCACAACACAAATTACTCTTTGGTTCTGGGCAAATGTATATTTAGAGCCATCGTTATAGTAAAATATTGCTGACACTTGTAATTAGCTGACGTTTATTACAAGTCTGTTTATGGAATGTCGGCATTTTTTTAAGTGGGTAACTGTGGCGCCCCCCCACGTTTGGCAAATGGCGTCTGCAGGGCAACACATGGTAAACTTTCTGACGTAGCAACCTGCGCCTGCATCCCTGGCTACAAGCTCGCTGGACATGGTCTCAGTCACTGCCAGAAAAATTGGAAATGGTCTGCCCACGCCTCGACCTGCATCAGTAAGTACATGCAGAAAGACATTTGTACCACTGGGTATTACATTCAGTGTGCCCTGTTTGGAAGTGTCCGCAATACCTGCTACACCTGTGAAGATCCAGGCTAGAACAGTCCTTCAGCAACCCATGCTTGTCGTAAAAGGCGACCAACAGGACGATGGTCGCTGACTTTGTTGAAGCATGTCATCGTATCCAAATTGTGTAGATCAATGCTTATGTCTATCACTGAATTAAATAGCCGATATATGTCTTTGTGCGGCGTGAAATTATGATTCACAATTAGCCAGATATCCGTATTTGTAATTTAAACATGTGATGTCGTCATTGTTAGATAGGTTGAAGATTTTATTAACCAATCAAGATTGTCTAACCATGTTGTCTTCAATCACGTGTTTTTTGTTTCATAGTTAAAAACTGTGGCTCGCCTCCAGTGGTTGCTCGTGCAACTGTAAGCGCCCCTGTCACGACATTCGGCGCAACAGCAACATACACATGTAACGTTGGCTTCAGACTTCGCAGCTCGCCCTTCTCCAGATGCAAGAAGGATGGTACCTGGACGGCCATGGGTCGCATTTGTACACGTAAGTGCTGCGGCAAGCCATAACTACTGCTGCTCCTTTATCATTATTTACAAGATACCTTCTTAAAATTAGAATGTTATAAAACCAATTTAACGAAGATAATTTTACAGGTTTGATTTAAAATGGTGGCACAAATGGCAGGCGTCGCCCAGACCACTATTACAGTTAGCACAGAAATTGTCAATGGGTACATTATCCCCCGCCACGTAATGGAGCTTTTGATGTGGGAACTGTCTTGGCCCATCCACTTCTCGATGGGATAAGTTTGAGAAATGAAATATTACACATGCTAGTCTGGAATGAATCCCTAAAAATACCGTCTTAAATTCAGTGTTTAGTTAAAGCCCTTGTTCCACGATGTCTCACTTTGTGCATGCGTGACATGTGAAGTTTCCTGTGACGAATGGAGCTTTGCAATCTAATATATTTATCTAGATTTGCGTTCAAAATGTTTTCCATCTGGTCTTCACTGGAAACCAAAACTACATGGAATTTTGAATGATTATGGAAATGCTTGACAAGACTAGAGAAAACTAACGTTTCCGGGGCAGTTTTAATAGATACCATTCACAAGTTTTTGCTTTCGATGACTTGCGCTTTCTAAAGACGTCATGGTAGTAGTATAAACATTTCGAACTTTTCTAATGGCGCAAATATCCATTTCCATATATCATTCCCGCTACTTGCCTTTCCAAACAAATGCAGGAGTAAATATTTGAGGAAGTTGAAAAGACGGGCTTTTGCAGCAATATGCCAAAATAATATATACTAGCCACATAAAGAAACTGTGCACGGAGAAAATATATTCTGTATTGAAATACAACACAGCAAGAACAAAACGATGCAGACGCTGTAGCAGCTGAATGATCGGACCATAAGAAAATGTCAACGGATTTGGCCTGCCATATCCTCCTCAAATCCTGTGCCAAGTCACGGACGTTATCTGGAGGATGTGGAAGACGACGCAGACGGTGCTCCATTTCATCCCACACATGCTCTATTGGGGAGAGATCTGGAGAAATTGCAGGCCATGGCAGTAACATGACATTGTTATGGTGAAGGAAATCCATTGCGACCCTAGCCGTGTGAGGACGAGCGTTGTCCTGTTGAAATGTCAATCCCGGGCCATGACGTTGCAGGAAAGGAATGACCACATGCCTCAGAATCTGATCTCTGTAGCCAACACCGGTGAGATTGCCCTGAACGACCACCAAAGGGGTTCGGTGCCGTGCTGTTATCCCACCCCAAATCATCACAGAGCCACCTCCAAAACGATTCCTCTCCACAATACAGTTGCGTGCATAACGTTCTCCCAAACGCCGGTAGACACGTTGGCGCCCGTCACTGTGGGAAATGTTGAACCTCGATTCATCTGTAAAGACAACATTTCTCCACCATATTCGAGGTTTGCGAACATGATTTCGACACCATCTTAGACGGTTGACTCGATGACGTGTGTCAGGATGGGACGTATGGCAGGGCATCATGGTCGAATCCCGTACTGACGTAAACGATTCCTGACGGTGTCGGGGTGGATACGGCGCAGTCCAGGAATTGTCTGGGACGTCGTTACTGCCGTTTGGAACCTGTGTCGGAGATGCGTCACTCGAATCCATCTGTCCTGGCGTCGTTACTCGGGGACGTCCTGAGCGTGGGTGGTCGGCAACGTCATTTGGGTTCTGATAACGCACGTCACGCCGAAGACCCGGGTTCGATTCCCGACATGGGTACAATATGTGAAGCCCATTTCTGGTGTCCCCCGCCGTGATATTGCTGGAATATTGCTAAAAGCGGCGTAAAACCATACTCACTCACTCTGATAACGCATCACCAATATCGTGTTACGATGGCATTGGAAATGTGTTGCCACCTGTTGTTGCCTCATTCCCGCTTGGATCATTTCAATGGCTTCTTTCTTGGCATGATTTGCTTGTGATATGCTTGTCTGCGCCTGAGAAGTTTGGAAAGCATCTGTGGTCATTCAAAAATTCAAAAGTGACAGCGAACTTTGAGTTGCACATGCTGTGTACAGCTGCACAGGATGCACGTGCAGTAACACATTGCACGTCCATAGGCCCCATCAATGACGTCATATCGCATGGCACGTGCATGAGCGTTTGAATGTCTCCAATAATTGCTGTGTTCAAACCTATATTTCATATATGGACGGTGTGCCCTTATATCTATATTTTCTCCGTGCACGGTTTCTTAATGTGGCTAGGATATTTTAAATGCATATATAAATGATTCCAATTGGTTTACACCCAGACCGGACTGAAACCCGGTCAACGAAATTTGAAACTCCTGGATGCACAAATGTCATATCCTAGCTAACTATTGCTATGACGTCAAACTGATGTCCTAAAGGGTGACATCTGGAAGTGTACACAAAACATGACCTAATGTCATTGCCTTAACGGCCAGTCTCTGAAGGTGTTTGTTTGACGCCGCATTCAGCAATATTCCGGCTATATGACGGCGGTCTGTAGATAATCGAGTCTGGACCAGACAATCCACTCGTATCATAAGCATCGATCCATGCAATTGGATCGATGACGTGCATCCACCAAGTCACCGAGCCTGACCACCCGATGCCGTTAGTCGCCTCTTACGACAAGCATGGGTTGCTGAAGACCTATTCTACCCCGGAATCTTCATGGGTATAGTTTCTTTTCTTGCAGATTTCGTGTACCGGACAAATCTGATGCTGGTGCTCCGTATTGCTCCCCAAAACGGCGTCAGCAGTGTCGCCACTCTCCGGACTTTGCTCCCTCCAACCATGTTGTTGCTCTCAGTCGGCGAAAGTCTTTGGTTGAGGATAGCAATTATGTCCACATTGGTTTAAAAATGGTTAAAACTTTATATTTCATTATCACGCTTGGCATAGTTTCAGCCCGGAATCCACTGCCCTTTCTGAACTTTAAAGCAAAAGTGACACTAGCTAATTTGCAAAATTACAATGCGACTTTTTTAATTTTTATTTTTTTTCCTTCAGTCTCAGATTTTCGTCATTTCTCAATAACTTTTGCACAAACACAATACTGCCTGGTCACCACGTTACACCCAAAGGCCTTTGTCATGACAATGCAATATTTCAGTACACGATTGCGGTGCACCTAAAGCCTTGCCCAATGCTGTGTCTTCTTCACCTGCAACCACCGTCGGCCGGATAGCTACCTACACATGCAAACCTGGCTATACCGCAAGCGGCACACGCACGATCCTCTGCAAGGCTGGCGGTACTTGGGCTACAACAAACTTCAAATGTACCAGTATGTATCTCCAACGTCAGCAAAGCCTTTCACACCTTACGGTACAAATGAAAATCTAAGACGCCACTACAGTTGGTATCGCTTACTTCAATGACGTCATTGCAATGTTACAAGTGAAATGAGGAGCATAGGGCCCATAACTTACAGGATTGTCTGGAATCGACGTCAAACAACCTTTTCCATTCATGTTTAACATATTACACTCTTCCTAAACTAAAGATTACCACTTGGGTTGAGTCCCATGGGATTCAAACTGAGTGAGGCACCTGACCACCAACGGTCTACGATCTAAACCAACTCGGCCATCTACTTATATAAGAATTTGTACTAAGTATGAACTTTGTTATATTTAACTTTTCCAAAGCTTCGTTACAGTCCTGGCATCAAACTTGCCTATGACACGTTGCACATTTTCAGTCATAACCACACGGATCATCTTAAACATTGAGGTAAAACGAGGCTCAAACGCCTAAATAAAATTTGATCTCGACCTCAAAAGTCTATATAAAATGACCTCTTTAATGAAATGTCTTGCCTTTACATATAAAACTAACCTTAAAAATTCGAGTCATTTAATATTTTCAGTCAAAAACTGTGGTACACCCACTGCCGTCACGGATGCTACAGTGTCGGCACCAACTACCACCTTCGGTTCTACCGCCACATACACCTGCAACCAAGGATTCACAAGAAGATCGGGTTATCTCAAAGTCGTCTGCTTGTCAAGCGCCAGATGGTCTACTAACAACTTAAAGTGCTCCAGTGAGGCCGCACATTTCTGTTTATATGTTGAAGTTTCAGTTGCCTCGGCATAAGAGCGACAATGCCTTCTAGAAACAGTTGCTGGGGCTGCCCCATTGTTAAAATTCCTTAAGACTAGCAATCTCGTATTTAGCCTACAACAAGGCACTGAAGCTCTTTCCAAGTGTTCACCTCGATACTTTCCGATCCTTTTCCTACTTTAGTTTTTGCTAGTTTGTATCTGCATAATCTCCCTTTGCTTCAAATTTCAATTTCTGAATGTATAAATATATCTTCCATATTTATGGGAAATACTATTACAAACGGTGTCATCATTCCTTCTCTTAGAAGCAGTTGCTGAAGACTAACCCCAATCTGTCTTACGCATCACTCGGCAATATGACGGTTGTCTGTAAATGAGTCTTGATGAAACATCCAGTGACGTCATCGATGGGCTATGACATGCATCAGTCAAGTCGGCGAGCCTGACTACCCGATCCCATCGGACGCATTTTACGACAAGCATGGGTTGCTGAAGATCTATTCCACCCCGAATTTTCCTGGTTATTAAATGTACAGGTATTACTTGACCCAGCTAAAATGGGATTAATATCCAAGTTTGCTCAATTAAAAACTTTAGTTGCCCAACTATTTGCGATACAATGCATTTCGAAGGCTTCATGATCTCTCCTGTCGCTCGCTTTCACCCTCGCCTTGAAAGCAGATGCTATTATTGTTTAACTTGTCATACCTCTACAGCTAAAATTGCTATCGTCATATACAATTTTTCCTTTGCAGAATTTGCCTACATAAACGGGTATGTTTTGGGTATGAGGATTATTCCTGGTAACGGCGTCAGCTCTGCCAACACTTGGAAAAATCCGTCTATCAAGCTGGACTTCCCTGTGCCCGCGTCTCTGCAGCCTGGTTGCCTAGGGCCCGACACACGTCTCCCCTGTAAGACGCATTTCAGGAGCACGCTGGTTAACTATTGGTCAAAGATCGGCTTACAGAGGGTAATCTGACAGAATGCATTGTGCCCAGTATTTGTCTTTGAAACGTCAGATGCATTGGTGCATAACTATTTCAAATTTCCCGGATGTAATGTGTAAATCTATTTACAGGCGCTAATCAACAAAGTATAACTATCATTTTTCGGTATCGCTTTCTATTGGGTAGCTCTACAACCGAATAACTTATTACTGGTTATAACTATCAACCTTGCCAGAAGATAACGATATCTGATCGGACGATAATTGTCAAAGTTATCGAGACAACCAGTTTCAACCCACGCCGACCTGGGCAGGAATGTCTTGGCTCAATTGTCGAGATATATCGCTGGCTATTGGTCGCTCGGTACACGTGGACGACCCTAGGGCGTGCAGAGTTGCGTCCCTTCGCACGCCAGAAACCTGTAACCGGACGTTCCGTCAGGTTTGTTACAACCGTACCAATGTACAGATCTTGAACATGAAAGGCCATCACTTCAGTCTATCACATCCACCCGACAGTGAAGGTTACAATTTAATGTTGCATCGGCATTGTTTCAGCCATTTAGAGACAATATTAATAAGTGTTTAACGCCGCACTCGGCAATACTTCGGCTATATGACGGCGGTCAATAGTCTGGATAAGACAATCCACTGATTGACATGAGGATCGATCTATGCAATTGAGATATGATGACATGCACCGACCAAGTCGGCGAGCCTGACCACCCGATCCCGTTAGTCGCCTCTTACGACAAGCATAAGTCACCTTTTACTGCAACCATGGGTTGCTGAAGACCTTTCGATTTTTTTTTATTCGCGGCTCGTATTGACAAATGACTTGTGAATACAGTGGTGACTATTACTTAAATACTGTTCAAAGCGGGATTAGCCCCAACTCTTACTTTGAAAGGGGATGAACTTGGAAGTTTTACAAGACGTGGTTCATTTTTTTTTCTTACAGGTGCGCGTCGTCCTCCTCAAAAATAGAAAGGCAGTAAGGACGTTGGACTTCAACGCAAAAGGAACGAACTACCTCTCTTGGTTCTCCAGATCCAAATTGATAAGATCCACTTGGAAAAATCTTCCTTACAAATATTCCATGAACCATTTCAAGATCCTTGGGTAAGTATCTCTTGTAATTGTAGTATACTTTACTATCGCTGCTAAATTTGATATTAATATATTGACGTTAACGGACCTGTCGCTACAATGAAACGCAATAGGAACATGGCAGCCTCGCCCTTGGCTTCAGTTTGACAACTCAATTTCTAGTATTGAGACTACCTACTGATAGGCAGACCGCCTCCGTTTTCTTGTGGTAGAGCGGAAGGTCAAGGGGTTCGATCCCGGGCCGCGTCATATAAACAGACGTTAAAAGATGGTACTTGTTGTAACCCTGTCTGGGGCTCGACATTAAGGAGTTAAAACACGGACTGGTCGGCTCAGTCGGTATACTGACTAAGTGGGGATATTCATGTTAAACTGCGATATGGTATCTCGGTGAGCTAGCACTATAAATCGGCATCAGTCCGGTCTAGTTCAAGCTGCCACACGCACGCCGCTATGTAAGTGCAATAATCTTGGACGTGACGTTAAACCCAACATAACCTCACTGTTGGCAGACTTGATGTCGCTTTTCACTTTCTATTTCACTATTACTTGCAGGCCCTCATCCTATAGGAACTGGTACATCAACAGAGCATCGCGCACATGCAGTACAGACGACGGATGGCTTGTTGTAAAAGATTCAGCTGGTGCTGGTTGCCCCTACGATAAAGGAAAGAGTTTTCCGAGGATAAAGTATTCAAACACCGAATACCATCAAAGAGCAACACGTACGTACCTACTCGGTTTATATAAATTGAAATATATAATTTTGACATACTAAACTATTGCCTTTTTCTCGGTGAAAAGTCCCATTTGGCCATCCGAATCTGATTTAAGTATCATAATTTTTTTACAATATTTTTTTGGGGAAAGCATTACTATCGCTAAATATTGTCAAATGTTTGTTAAGATACTATCGTAACTTCTCTTCCCAATTCTTTATACAGGTTACGCAACGGCGGATACTATGTTAATACTTCTAAAACTGGCTACCGATGTATGCGGCCCTCCTCCAACTGTTAAAAGATCAACCGTCAAATATACCTCCCTCGCTGTTGGCGCTAAGGCTGTATACACATGCCACACAGGATTCCAAGCTACACGCACCCCATCAATAAATTGTTTAGCCGACAGCACCTGGACGAAGGTCTACTTTAGTTGTGAACGTGAGTATTTGAATACCTGGCTCTGTTTGAGTTTTAATCCCTGTGGAATGCTGGGTAAGAATAAATTTGTCGCAAGATTAGCTTGTCGGGCTAGCTTACTTTATGTCGTCGTTCCGATGACGTGAATCGCATTTTGACGCGTGAAAATCAGGGGTAGAATAGCTCTTCAGCCCGTCAAATAGCTGGAATACTGCCGAGTGCAGTTTTAAACAATAAACGAATAAAAAACAAAGCATCGGTGCAATTGCATATGCCTTGTACCGCATGCTACCGTGTTCAGGTGAACAATTCACTTGCATCTGCATGTCTTTGTGACAGTACCATCAGGAGCGCAGAATGCGCCCATCTTTTCAGATATCTGCGGTATCGTCACTATTAGATAATGGATCATAAACACGTTTGGTCAGAATTGTAAAATGGGCTCTGCTTTTAGCAGATTTCTTCTATAAGTTGTCCCATTTATACGATGAGCGTTGCCACCATACCACCCAGCTAAAATGTATTGCGTTTACCGTCTCTCCGGGATAGAATTGGATAGAATTAATCTTAGTTGCCGAGCTCGATTAGACTCTTGGCGATCCGTTTTTGAAAGGGTCTTCAGCAACCATACTTGTCGTACGAGGCGACTAACGGGATCGGGTGGTCAGGCTCGCTGACTTAGTTGATGCATGTCATCGTATCCCAATTGCGTGGATGGATGCTAATGATATCAATGACTGGATGGTCATCCAACCAACTATACTTCTGATTTATTTTAAAATCGATTTTACAGGCCAGCATATAGAACTCCCGTAAAATTGTCCTCCATGTGTCGACTTCTTGTCCACCTTCACCTGAACCACTTGACTGGCACTCGTTTCAGCCAACACCTGCGCCAGTGTCAAGAAGTGCAATGCTAAAAAAGATGGAGAATACTGGATATACCCCACGCTGCTCAAGGGCGCCAGTTTGAAGGTTTACTGCTATAATATGAAGTCCCGCAGTCCCATGGATTACATTACGCTAGTAAAAAGAAACTATGCCAACTATCCTGCCACGCGAAACACAAAATGCACCGGCAAAGACGTGCCTCTTCCTAAACCTAACAAGTCCGGAGTCACTACATTCTCCAAGGTTCGGATCTACGTATCGGTGAGTACCCTGTCGCCTTAGGTATCCGAAGTGCATGCAAGATAAAATGTCTTCCATTCCCCTCCCGACAGACCCTAAACCCGACAATCATTGTTGCTCCATTGCCTTGCACTTTGACGAAATTGTGGCTACTTTCATTCTTTGAAAACTTCTGTCATAAACGCACTTGCAGTGTCGAATGCAACGGGGAAGGTTGGCTGAAATACCGTCAAACGAACGCTAAAACAGATTAACCAACATCTTGAAGTAAACCATGTTTTTGGCGACAAGTTTCCATATACCAGACAGGTTAATAACAATTTTTGACAGTCTTGTTTTGGTGCAGTTTACTTTGTGCCACTTTTGGTAAATACGTAAAATAACCATGTTCTCTCGCGAGTTCAGACCCGTACCGTAAAACCACAACCATCATAAAGGCTGCGAACACATTGATTGATTGTTATATATATATATATATATATATATCAGTCTCTACCGTTTATATATTTACAGAGCTTATTTCCACAACGTTTCTCAATAGGGCATTCTTATCAATTTGTCCGACACCCTGTCGACCTACCTTAGGTTTAGTGCAACTGTACTTGTATGGATCGATGCTCATGATATCACATCGTCTGGTCCAGACCTGCTTATTTACTAACTGGAATATTGCTGAGTGCGGCTTTAAACAAACATAACTGCACCAGCATCTTCAATATTCGATTTTTCAAATGTACGAATACATTACCTGCACGCACTTGAATGATGTCATCGTATCCTAATTACGTAGATCATGTCAGTCACTAGATTCTCTGGTTCGGACTGCCTGCAATATTGCCGAGCAAGGCAACAAGCTTCTCTTCTCTTCAAAAAACGGCCCCGTTGAAATCTGTAACCATGTCTCGATTGATAATTTTCAGACAATGCAAGTCATCAGAAGCGACTTGAGATTTGCCAGATCAACTGGCACCGTCCAGCAGTTTGGAGTAGCGTACGCCTGCCACTCTAAACTAAACAAATGCAAGAAGAAAGGAGTTACTGTTGTGGACTTCAGAGGCACTGGACTTGGAATAAAATCTGTGAGTAGCATTCATTTAACTTAACTTAATTTAAAAAAAAGTATCACACATATTTGAAGACATGTTTTTTCGGAACCCGATCGTCTTACTTTTCGTGGGATTGCACTTAACAGGGTTACTGTGGTATTTTTTAAATCCATTTCGGAAACGGCCCGCAACTCTGTAGCCACAGACTGTAAGCACCAACATCTGTATATATCCCTTTTATGCCACAGCAGCTGACACAACGAATAAATGTTTATGTATGGAATCTCTCGTCTAAACAATTCCACATCAAGAAGACCAAGTATTTCTTTTCCCTCCACGCACGAAAATAAACAAATGATTCTGACAGATTGCAGCTAACATTACATAAGGTTCTGTCCTAGTTTACGGGGACTCCCCGCAATTACGGGGAGTCCCCCCCCTCTCCCCTTCAAATCTAGTTCCTACATTACTTGCCGACAACCGTGATCTTGTAGAGTTATTGCCGACTAATTTGAACATTCACATAATGTCCTTGCTATAAATTTATAAATTATATTTTGCAGACGGCAATCTTTTCAACAGGGCTATACGGCTCTGGATACTACTCTCACAGTGGATCGAAGGAATATTACAAGCTTGTGTGTGGCGGTTACTGCGGAGGTTGCTATATGCCCGGAAGCGTCCGCATGAAACGAATTTACTCACCAAAAGCAAGCAGCGCTACAAAGGTCAACTGTTGAATATTGGGGTTTGGTCATCGCAGCGTACTGTAACGCAAGAATCTTAATACATGTACGATGTGAAAATAAAATGTCGTGACAAATCTTTGTTTAATACTTTACCTACTATATAGGGGTGTTTTCGAAATAACCTTGCAACAAAGTTCATATTTATAGCAGGCAATTTTTCACTAACTAAAGCGTTTCAAGACTTTAATGTATAAATCCAGTGCCCCCAAACCTCAATAGTATGTCCATAGTGTAATCATGAACACAAGTTTGGATCGGATCCATCCAAATTCACCTAAAACCCGTGCTTCTGAATACCACATGTGAAAGAACGATGAAACGACCAACGCATGTAATTAACAATTGTATTACAAATTACTGAGATCCGTGTTAGAATAGGTCCTAAGCAACCCATGCTTGCCGTGAAAGATGACTATGCTTGTCGTAAGAGACGACTAACGGGCTCGGGAGGTCGGGCTCGCTGACTTGGTTGATGCAATTCACCGTATCCCAATTGCGTGGATCTATGCTCATAATATCAACTTTAGACAGCTGTCATAGGGTAGCTGGAAAATTTGAGTGGCGTTAAACAGTATAATCTGTTTTTGAGCATAAGTAAACTTTCAATTAACTTGACAAAAAATGGACAATGGTCGCTGTTAAACGGATCCTGTGCACTGTACCTGCATATGCAACAGGTCTACATGTTCCCGAGGTGTTTTGTCGTCTCTCTTCTCAATATCGCCAACAGTAATGGTGCTTATATTCAAATCAATACCGTTGCCACAAGTGATAAATTAATGGCTTAAACGTCTTGGCTTTGTCAGCAGTATAGAAGAAAAACCTTTTGCATAGTTTCTGTTTTCACATATGATTTTGACCATATCGCCTCAAGCCCAACTAAATTTAATTGATTCATGTGTTCTGCAAATATCATCTCTAACTGGCAACGCCCCCGCCCCTAGTTAACCATCTTGATGAAAGGTATATGGAGCCCTGGGATGTTTTGGTTGTACGCCGCACTCGGCAATATTCCAGCTATATGATCTTGTTTGGACCAGACAATCCAGTGACTGACATCATAAGCATGGATCCACGCAATTGGGATATGACATGCATTAACTAAGTCGGCGACCCTGACCACCCGACCCCGTTAGTCGCCTCTTACGACAAGCATGGGTTGCTGAAGACCTATTCTACTCCGGATCTTCACGGAATGTAAATAGCATGCGTACCATTATGTAACCATGCGTCACTTGACAATATTCCAGCTATATGCCAGAGTGCTTTAACCACGAGGCTGTCCCATAATACATGACAATCAAAGGATTTTGAAGAGCTTGGGAAACTTGTATAAAATGAAGAGTATGTAGGTTGGGGTTGTGAGGGCGTCTTAGGGTTCGACTGCCCCTTTGGAACCAACTATCGCTATAGAAACCCCCTGTTTTTGAATGGATGACTGAAGTATCCAAGACCTAGATTTTCGAAACTATCGTAGCCCTAAGATCAAGTTTGTCGTAAATCTAAGATAGCCCCATAGTTGTCTTGGCGGCATACTTTGCCAAACAAATAGTTTGCTTACGTCCGAACATTGACATTTCATTTTGTTAAACTGTTTCAAATTCACACTTCGAAAACACGAACGCATAAATGATTTCACGTCAGGAGTGTTCTCAACCTCATTGTGCCTCGCCGTCAGCTTCGTTGATCGCTCAGTGCCGCATTGTGACGTCGCGGTTTCAAAAACGTATACATTGTATAAGTGTTACAGCGTTATTTCTTCAGTGTAACCAAATTTGTATAACAAGCAAACTGGAGTTGATCGTCTTTCCAACAGCATCTAAAGTCAATAAATTCAAGATTTATCGCAGCTCGCATCGGAAACACATTCGAGGACACAACGATGATCCGATGTCATTTTAACAGCTTGCGGAGATAACCTCGTTTTGGAGTTTGACCTCAGGGTCGCGTATAAATATTAAGAGACGGCTGGTATTGTAAGTTGCCTACTTTTCTACATTATCGCAATATGGAAGCACCCGACTGTTGCAAGACAAGTAATCTAAATGACCCAATAATTCATTGCAAAGTACATATCGTAACGGTGTTAGACATGACATTTATGTCCAAGTACATTCATTGAAAATTGTCCGTGATTTATATTTGCCGATAAAAAATTCCGATGACATTGTTGGTGTTTTGACGTTAAAACTAAATTGCCGGAAGTAGTCGTGATTAGTTCATACGCAGACTGTCAAAGATTGTTACAATACGAATACGTCTGGAATGTATATCTTGAAGAAACCCTGGTTACGTCTATGTAGTTTTCAGCGTCTGTGCTCTTTCGTTAGTGATAAAAAAACAACTTCGGGGTAATTGTCACAATGTGTGACATGGCTAATCAATACTCAAATTGACATCGCTCAATATCCGACATAATTATTTCTTACAATTAACAAGATTATACTTACGTACCACCAACAAAGAGTAAGCACGCGTACATTCAATCAAAATCGTTGAAACGTTTTCATGGGCAGCAAATCTATTCAACGAACCTGTTTTCGATCACTCGTAACTCGGCCGCCTTATGTCATACAAGCATTGCTTCGTTGTGCAATCACAGACCGCTTCCTGTGTTATGTGGTGTAAAAGGTTTAAATCAAACTTATAAAAAGCTTGAAACGAGACAATTTTAATACTTGAATTTGAAAGCTCAAGAATCGTAGAGTGGGCTCTTTTTTAATACGGATATGACCAAATGTTTTGTGTCCAGGCCATTTGCTGTATAACTACTTATAACTGAACTGACGAACTAAAAATAGTGGTCCCTTTCAGTTCGTCATAACTGTACAGGGAAAAAATAACTTGTACAGGTGAAAGAAGGCAATATTATTATTATTATTATGTTACGTGTCAGTACTGTGTAGATTAAGTGAATGAGAAAATTACAAAAATATGAATTACTTCGATTAAAGTAGTCTTCAATGTATATACGGTACATGTTCTAAAACCCCTGAACAAGTTTGCTTCACTATGACCATAGTAAACATACATCCTCGCCTCAGCTTGTATTTCGCACTTGGCTACCCACTTTAGATATTTGCTCAAAATATACTTGTATGGCCAGTCCATGAAATACAACTTTTTCTTTCATATTGTGTTAGGTGTAAATACACTTAAAGTCGTATTTCTATGTTTGCACATGTATACATTCAAGAACATGCGTGATAGTTTATTTCCAGTACAGTTTCTCATTTCATCCGATTCTACAAAGGAAAAGTTTGAAATAGATAATGATTGTAGGTCAATGGAAAAATGAAAAATATATTCTTGGTATTGAAATTCGAAAACATAACTAGCAAAACCTTTAATATAGACGGTTTTCAGCTATGTCTTTCCTTTCGGCCTAGCTAAACTACAGCTTCGAGGGAACATATACAATTTAAAATTGTGAAAAGAACCACAAGTATGCATTCATTTTGCTCTCAGGCAAGATGTTTTTTTACAAATTATATTTCTTACTGAGAATTCAAAGTAATTATAACTAAATACGTATGTCACTGATCGAAGTATTTGATAATTTAGATAATGCATGCAGTGACTTAAAAAACAAAACAATGAAATCTATTTAAAACATAAAAAAATATGAAAATCACATTTACACTGAAAACATTTTGTCATTCAGAAATGGATGATCAAAATGTAACTTACTGTTATAAACCGAACCATGCGAGATTCTAATGTATGAGATATGAAAAACACATGTCAACATACCAAAATTTGAAAAGTGCACCAAATATTCTCAGTCTTCGTCAAGTGGTAAACCGTCTCTTTCACTCGTGTAACACGTGTATCCATCAGACAACCACAACATTAGATCAGCTGTTTGACATGACGTCTACACGTCACAACAAGCGAGCATTCGTGACCAACCCATGTTATTCCGGGACAAGACGAATAGCGACTTGTGCCCCTCTCGTGGCCATTTTCGCAACTGGGCTCCGTCTAAGCGCTAACGGAACTCGTTGCGTAATGATTCACGTAAATATGATTTCCAGTACAGTATTACACAGCATGTTTGAACACATTTAACTGTATGCTGGGATTATGCAAGAGTTATGTAAAGTCAAAAACTGTTCCTGTGGGATTCTTAGACCTAAGTACTTTGGGTCAGACGTGCAGTCTAATTAGTTTGTCATATTTTCGCACATGGCATTCATCGATGAGGGGACAAGTCTTCTTGCAGGTTACGGAAAGGGGCGAGTGGTGACTAATGAACAAGCGAGTTCAAATCACGCGCACCTGTCCAGACGACATTTACAGCCGCAGAAAATGACCGACCGTCTACTAGCCTACACAAATAAAATTGCAGATTGTTACGTCATTGAACGAAAAAATATAAAGCGTTTACTCATTGCTGACATTTCAGATAACATATCGAATAAGAGTTGACGATTCGCTTTAGATTATCATACGTTAATCGAGAGTACAGTCTACATCAATGATTTGTTAATCTAATATCAATTACATCTAATATCCATGGCAGCATGTTGGAAATAGAGCTGTCGTGTTATGATAAATTGTCCCATTTCAAACCAAAACGGTTGCCTATACATACACAATTGTTTATCAATTAACTTGTACAATCACAGCGTGTACAATATACATTACCCACGGAAAGTACTTTCTGCAAACCAATCATACCTCCATATCACACTATTTTAATGAAAGGAAAGACAAATCGAAATCGAACTTTACAGCACATCGTATCCATAACGATGAACCCAAATGCAGCTTTTGAAATCTCATTTTGCGACCCGTGAAGATTCCGGGGTAGAATAGGTCTTCAGGAACCCATGCTTGCCGTAAAAGGTGACTATGCTTGTCGTAAAAGGCGACTAACGGGATCGGGTGGTCAGGCTCGCTGACTTGGTTAATGCATGTCATCGTATCCAATTGCGTGGATCGATGCTCATGATGTCATTCACTGGATTGTCTGGACCAGACTCGATTATTTACAGTTAGACGTCATATGGCTGGAATATTGCTGAGTGCGGCGTTAAACAACAAACCAACCAACCAAATCATTTTGCGA